CCTTATGTTCCTCTGTTTTGTCTCTTCAAGTCCTCATACGAGTGAAGTCATAGGATTTTTGTCTTTCTCTGACTAATTTCACTTAGCGTAATACCCTCCAGTTCCATCCACGAAGTTGCCAATGGCAAGATTTCATTCTTTTTGATTGCCGAGTGATACTCCATTATATATATATATATATAGACCACATCTTCTTTCTCCATTCATCCATCGATGGGCATTTGGGCTCTTTCCATACTTTGGCTACTGTTGATTGTGCTGCTATAAACATGGGGGTGCACCTGTCCCTTGGAAACGGCACACCTGGATCCCTTGGATAAATGCCTAGTGGTGCAATTGCTGGGTCGTAGGGTAGTTCTATTTTCAGTTTTTTGAGGACCCTCCATACTGTTTCCAGAGTGGCTGCACCAGCTTGCATTTGGGAATGCATTAGGGCCTCATCTTTACAGCTGTCTTTCTCTGAGTACTTCCCCGAGATGTTGTCATGGCAGGGCCATCATACCCTGCATACCTTGAGTGGAAGCCACCTTCTCAGAGGGCCTTTCCTAGAGACCAGGCCCATCCTCCCCGCCCCCCAGGCACTAGGACAAGGTGCTCTCAGTCTCGCTGGGGGAGGGGCACCGTACTCTTGATATGTGGCTGCCAAACAAACGATTCCGGAAGGAAGGGCCACGCAGTCCTGTGGGCAGGGAATCAGGCACGGTTGAGCCGGGTGCTGGGTGCAGGGTCTCTCCTGGGCAGAGACCCAACATGTTGACTGGGTCGGCCATCATCTGAAGGCTCGACCGGGGCCGATGATGTGCTCTCTGTCACTGGGCCTGGGGTCTTTGCTGGCTGTCCCTTGTCACGAGGGCCTCTCCTCGAGCAGAGCTCACAGGCGGCAGCCGTTTCCCTCAAAGCACGGCTTCTGGGCGAGGAAGCGCGAACAGGCGAGGAAGAGCCAAGGTCTCTTTTTGTAACCCAGTCTCGGAAGTGGTATCTCGTCACTTCTGCTGTATCCAGAACAAGTGGGACCTGAGGTTCTGTCCACACGTAGCGGGAGGGGCCCCACGTGCTCAAGAACGCCCGGAGGTGAGGGGCCCAGGGGGCTCTCTTGGAGGTGCCACCACAAGACACGTAAACCATCCACACAGGTAGAGGGAGAGGCTGCTCCTCTCGGGGAAGAATCTTCACAGAGGAGAGGACGTTTGCATCGGGTCTTACAGGATGTGTAGGAGTTTGTCCGGCAGCCATTATCAGCTGTCGTCTTGGTTTTCATGATTGTTCAGGCTGGTTCCTGGGGGACTTCAAGGCATGGTCTCTGCCCACGACAGGCTTTCTTGAGAAGATAGGAAGTGGCATGGCTGCAGCGAGGCTGTGGTGGGAGTGAGCTTGGAAAGGGTGGAGGGCTCGGGGTGGGAGAATCAGCGTGGGCTGGAGTGGCCTTGAAGCGTTATCCAAAAATCATTTCATTCTGCAATCGTGTTCTTTTCTTTCTGGGAATGATACAGGTTTTTTTCCCCTCAGTGGATTTTTT